GCTAACTGTCCCCTAGCTCCTAGGAAAATAGTAATTTACATCTAGATGGGGTCTTAAAACAAAATACTAAATAGCATTGTCTTCATTGAGATATGAACACAAAGTATTACCAAGTAACTGCCAGATGACATCATGACACTGATGGTAAATGAGCTTTGAAGAAAAATCAAAGATGACCAGGTGAATGTTCTTCTGAGCAGAATGTAATTACCCTGGAAACTGTCTGAAAATGACTAGAGACTAAAAAAATTTAGTTCTGACAGTAATTTCTGGAGTTTTTGGGAATGTGGTTTAATAAGACAGCAAATTACTCCCAGGCTGACAGGACTGGAACACAGCTTGCAGCCAGGAGATGGGAGCTACTGATCTTGCAGAAGTTCCCACTGACAATGCGAATTCTCTGTAAATGATATGACAGGTCAGCATTAGTAGCTGGCTTTTTATGCTAGATTAGAGCTCTCATTGCATGGAGAGTCAGGTATTGTCTGTCCCCTCATAGCTGACACAAAGCTGGCAGAGACTCCAGATTGCATGTTCATTGGCAAGTCGAGCACACCAGTGTGGTTGGTCAGAGCCCAGATTTCACTGAGCATTGGAGACAAGACCTGGCTAGTGAAAGTCTGCAGTCCTGGGGAACGTGTATGGATGCTGGGGAAACAAGATGCATACAGTATATAAAAATTTTTGGTGTCATGCATGTTTTCAAAGCCCCTTTACTAAATAAATGCTAATGTGATTCTATAGCCCAAACCTGGCCACATGAATAGGCATGAAGCAGATGTTTCTGAAGGGCCAGTTGAAGTGTGACACAGTGTATCTAGTTTAAGGTAAAACCAACACTTTTTCCATCTGCCTGTCTTTGCTCAGAGCTGCAAACCTCATTGCAAGGTTTCTTTTCATGATAATTTATTTAAAATTGGTGTGGAAGACTCTGACTACTCTTACTGTAGTTTGCGTGGGCCTAGTTCAGTGTAGCATACATTCGGGTAGTTAAGGAACATTGCAATCAAGTGAACTATGATGGTATCATAATCAGGACATGCATTTTCAAACACTTTCTTTAGAAATCTAGAGCAGGAAGCCAAATCAAAGTGAACAATGAAGACAAATGAAGCATGGAGACATTCTGTATCAGGCAATCCCTGCTTCCTACTCTCCTTCTGAACGGTCCTCACAGGGCAGTTCTGCTTCAGTGCTTGACTTTAATTGGAGTCCAGCACAAAGCAAAAATCATTCCAAGGCTTGTAAACCTTTCTTTCAGCTAGGGCTATTTGTCCATATATCTTTCCATGGCAGACAAACTGCCAATTACCATGGCATGTCTTTCCAAGTGAAAAACTTGCTTGCCTGCCAAGATAAAACATTTGGAAGGCTGCAAAGTGAGGCAACCTGGGGACACCTCTGTATTGCTGTATCTTAAATGCTATTACACAGAGCTCTGCTAGTGATTTGAATTCAGGGCACGTTGTGGTAATTTAGTGAAGCCAGACTGGTCTCGTCAGACTAATACAATCCCACACAGGAGTCAGGGCTGATGTGACTGGCCCGGCATAGGTTTTGTAATGAAGACTGCTGCTCTGCTAGTGTGATTCTTATGTGAAATTCTTAGAAAAGCTGGCAAAACTAGTAGTACAAGAAGCTAGAAGGGAACACAAAGCTGACAGGACCAGCAGGTAAAAGACATGTTAGAAGAATGGCAGCTCACTGCCATGACTTGCACTGCCACTTCCCCTGTGCCTATGGTCCTTCATCTTCCCCAGGAGGGCACAGAGCAGTCACACACCACTCAGGCAGTCCTTGGCCCTTCTGCTTGGCACATCATTAGCAGTCTAATGATATTGACCTATCCACTGGAAGTGGGACTGGCACCAATGCTTTTTTAACTATCAACCATAGCCATCTCTCTTCTGCTTAGGAACAATGCAGTTCAGATTTGGATAACAAGAAGTCTCAGTGGATTGTGTTATTGCCACCTGCACTACCCAGTTCATTAAAGGGACTGGTCCAGAGTCTTATCACAGTTGCCTATGTGCAAGCCTGCTGCTACTCCAGAAATACAGTAGACTAAATGATATTAAAAAAAAAATTGGCTGATTGCTTTCCAATCTTCAGCAATCCTTTAAAATCAAGAGATTTTTCTGCAGCTTTTCCTCTTTTAGTGGACAAACTCCTCCAGGTGGCCAGCAATATGGCTCAAGATCATTGAACTAGCAATGTGTAAGCTGTCAGTTTTCCCTTTTCCTTTTTGGAATAGTAACATAAGTTCAGTGACTTTTGGGGAATCTGTGTATCTGTTTTTTTTTAGTTATTACTAACTCTTGTTAGTAATTACAAAGTGCCCAGGCTGGGCTTTTGAGGAACCAGTCTTAGTTTCAGTCCTTTACCTTCGTTTAGAACAGCCAAGTTTTAGCACTATCTTGGAGTAAGTTCCTTCAAGATATGAGATCACAGTTTTTTAAGTTCTACTGGGCTCCATTGTGTGAGGGGCAGGAAAGAAAAAACACCAGGGTAATATCTCCCTTCAAAGCACAATATTCAGGCATTCTTATTCAATAGTCACATCATGGCTACAGCTACAGTTTGAATTCAATTAAAAGCTTTTAATTGGTCATCCTTCCAAACATTTCCAAACTGTCATTCATTTTCAGATACGCCTAGAGAGCTACTGTCCTAACATAATTTTAGTCTGACACAAAAGTCAATTATACTAATTGTTCAGCAGGAATTAGCCTCTTATGCATCATCAAATTATTACTGTTGCTAGGTTCATTTTACAAAGATCTTTCCTTTATCTGTACATAAGCAAACCTAAGCACCAGCACTTGTAAGTCTCAGTACTGACTAGGGAATAACTACTTTATATAATGAATGTACTTCTAAACTGACTGGAATATTGAAATAGGCTGCAAAAAGATACGTCCCCTTCAGCTATGGGATAATGACAGTAATTTTCTGATTTTTCATCAATTAAAAATACCTTTGCCTTAAACACAATTATTAATGAAGTAAATGTTTATCTGTGTGTTGACAAATATTAAAACAATATCTAAAGAACTTTTAATCAAAGCTGATGCTTCTGAGGTAATTCTGAGAATGTGCCCTCTTAGCTCCATTTAAAACTCACTTATAGCATGTCCATTCAGAAAACTGAGTGATCTGGACAATTTGAGAGGCATATGTGTATGTGCAGGAGCCAGCTCAGGTGTATGTGAGAATGTGCTGAAAGATAAGCTCCCAGGGGAAATTCTAGGGGAGTTCTAGGTCAGTTAGAAGAGGGGTGAAATCTGACTGTGAGAACAAGGCAGAGAAGTTGGAAGGAAGGACAGGCAATTTTTTGGATTAAAGGACTCTTGATGATTTGGGCAAATAAATTTTTTTTATGGGTCAGAAAATCTTATTTTTATGTGAGAAAAACTTCATTGGGATGTGGAACTCATGGTATGCTTTCCCTTTGAACTGAAATTCCAGCAAAGCCCTGGATTTTGACAGTCATGTCAGAGAAGAATCCTGTGACAAAGTAAAGGAAGAGCTGGGGCCAGGCAGATCTGGCAGCAGTGCTAGAACTCACACTTTTTTCCAGACAATTTGAAGGAGAGACTGTACTCTCTCCCCAGAAGCAGCCACAAGAACTGAATTGGAATAATAATACAGCCACTTAGGAAATTGTCTCATCAATAAAACAGAAACATTCACTGGCAGATTTACCTGCGTGGCTCGTCAGCCATCCTAAAATGTCCTAGATGGAAATTATCTCCATATACAGAAGTTGTTTCTTCCTTTAAATTGATGTGGCATTTTCCACAGCATTATGTTTGACTTATGATTTTATTCAGCACACAAATGTCAGCACAGACACGAGGAGCTGTGCAATTAATTTTTAAGGAAGGGCAAATAGAGTCAGTGGGGTAAAAAGAGCAAGTTAGCATAACACATAAAAGCAGGATGATAAAACTCAAGTATGTGCATAGGTCTGTGTCTCAGTATTCAATAGCCTGATAGAAAGTATGACACAGAAGGCATCTAAAATAAACTGAGGCAGGGCAGAAAAACAGTGATGTTACAGGAGCTACTAGTTCAAGTAATTTTGTGTGCATCGGGACCATCACATGTACAGTTCTGTGGCTATAGCTATACTAAAGCCTGCTGTAAAATTTAGTCAAATCAATTGTAGTTTTCCTCTCTAGCAAGACATGGCAATGAGATAAGGAATCAGAGGTAAACATCTACATAAAACGAAAAAGGGTTTTTTTTTAGCCAGGAATGCAAAGCCTCAGTCCTAACCTCAATCTTGTTGCTGATGAGACGATGAGACGTGTGCTTTTCCATGCCACATGTACACGTGTTTCCTGTACCCGCGTGCAGAGTAAAGTCATTGAATGTTTGAGACTCCTTCCACCCGGGACAGTCCCGTTCCCGGTTAAACACCTCAGCCGAGAGAGCCGGGAGCAGCGATCCGGGCAGGGGCCACTTTCGGGGACCGGACTGCGGAAGCCGACCCCGGCCCACGCGGCTGTGCAGAATTCACAGAGGGCTTTTCACCGCTGTCACCTGCCTATTCCTACCGGGCCACGGCCTTTCCAGGCTCGCCGGGACCCCGGCTGGGCGGCGAAAGGGCGGGCGGGTGACACCCGTCCAGGGCGCGGGCCCTGGGCCGGCGCTGAGGCGGAGGCAGTGCCCGGCGGGTACAGCGCTGCTGCCGGCCGCCTCGCCGCGGTCAGTGCCCCTAGGACGGGGTCCCTCTTGTTCGGGCCGCGCCACTTCGCTCTCGGGCTTCGGAGCGGTCTTTCGGCAGGGGAAAGGGGCGGGGGAAGGCGGCTCCGGACCGCCCGGCGGGCCCCGAGCAGCGGCGGGCGCGGGCGGGAGCCAATGGGTGCCGGCGCGGCCGTGTGACAGGCGGGGCGGCCGCTGCCCCCGCCGGGCGGGGAACCTGCACGGCGGCGCTCGGCAGCATCATCCGCGGCCGCGGGGCTGACACACGCCTCCATCCTCTCTCCCGGCAGCCGCTCACACGCGCCTCGCCGCGGGCGGAGCGGAGCGAGGGGCGCCGCGGCAGACAAAGCAAAGATGGCAGGGATCCTCGCCTGGTTCTGGAACGAGCGGTTCTGGCTGCCACACAACGTCACCTGGGCGGACCTGCAGAGCACGGAGGAAGCCGCCTTCCCGCAGGCGGAGGACCTCTACCTCGCCTTCCCCCTGGCCTTCTGCATCTTCATGATCCGGCTGCTCTTCGAAAGGTAACGCCGAGCCCCTCGCGCCGCCCCGGGCTTGGCTGGGCTGGGCGGGCCCAAGGGCAGCCGAGGAGCTTTGTCAGCCCGGCTGCTTCACTGCCGGCCTTACCGGGCCCCTGCGTTATCCCTGCCCCCTCGGTCGGTCACGTAGCGGGCCCGACGCAGGAAGGTGGAGGGGTTCGAGGCAGCCGGCGCGGCGTTCCCGCTGCCTGCGGCGCGGCCCGGCGCGGGCGCTAGGAGGCGAGGTCTGCCCGGGAATGGGCGCAGCCCTCCCGCCACCTGCGGCGGCCGCGGCGGCTGGGGGAGACGGGCCCTCCGGCACCTGTGCGGACCGGGGCGCCTGCCCGCCACCCACGGGCTGCGGCGGGGTCCTGCCCGCCCCCCTCGCTGAAGCTCCGCCACAAGAGCAGTGACGACCGGCCGCGGGGGAAGTGGTCCCGGCGGCGGAGTTTGCCCGCGCCCCGCCGCAGGGCCGCTCTCCACAGCGGAGCCCGCGCTGGGTGCGCTGCGCGGCCGGGGGCGGCGGCGGGAGCTGGGGGCCGGCGGACGTTCCGCCGCTCGGCGTGGGGCTCGGGTGGGAAGGGACAGCTCTTGGCGAGGGCAGCCCGGGGCAGCGGGGCTGAGCAGAGCTGTGCGTGGCCAGTGCGGATGGTGTCGGTGAGCGGTCCGTGCCGAGTGTCGAAACACTCCTGGGGCTGTCAGAATGTGGAAGCTCAGCGATGAAACGCGCCAGACGCTGTTCATCTCTGAACCAAACTCACCGTTCTTCGAGGCTGCTGAACTCATACACCAGGTTGAACAAATACATGAATACATATATATGCATACCTAAACATAAAGCGTCAGACTAGCGATCGGTCAGCGGGGACTGTATTTTCGGTGAGTGTTCCCGTGCGGGTGCTGAGCAGGGGCCGCCTGTCACGGGGAGGCAGCTGAAGCCAAGTGGGCGCTCACTTGCGCACGCTGCTGCGCCGTCTGACAAAGGTGGTGCTCCTCAACAGCAGAGAACAAAAGAACGACTCCTTATGCCAACACCTACGTGTTTTCAGTGGTGTTTTCTTAGGCATGCTATTAGGATAGTCAACGAAGATAAAAGATGACTGGTAGTTACTACATGCCAGAGAAGGGCTGTAAAGATACTTTAAAAATGATAAAACAGCTTATCTGCCAGGTACCGCTTCAAATTTCCTAAGCATTCCCTCTCCCTGGTTCGAACTTGCCTGTATTCCTAGCTTGGTTGAAAGGATCACATTTGTTTTGAAAAATAAGCTGTCATGGGCCGTTGTTATCTTTTGTGTTGCTTTACAGATTTACTGAACAGCAAAAATTGTCATCTGCCTGAAAATCTGAGGTTGTGAAAAGTTATTTGAGGCAATTGAGTTGTACTCATTACTCAAGTTGTTAACTATATGGCACTAAATAGTGCAATATTTTTAACAACTGGAGTAATGAGTATAATTACAAGTATTTAGATGATGTCAAATAATTACTTTTTTTTTTTGCAATCTATGATGTGTACTTTTAAGTGTTGAAAGAGGGTGCATGATACTGCATCTCTTGTCATCTGAAATGCAATAAGCATCGCAGCAGGACTGTGTTTTGATGGAGGAACAGCTAGTCAGAGAGATAGTTTCAACCTCAAGTTTAACTCACATTTCTGCTAATCCTGATGTGGCTGCTGTTAGCATTGTAGAAGCTGATCTGATTATGTAGTAGTTTGTATCCACTTACTCTTGGTAATTTTCTTCATTTAAAGTAAGTTTAATTTTGCAATGCATTATATTTTTAGGTGTTAGTTGTACATATAGATGATAATACTAGTATTTTTAAAATTCTCTTGTATTCATTAGATGGATTTTGAAATTTATATTGAGAAATGTGTTCTTCTAACCTGATTGTAGGTGAGAGACCTCCAAGGATATTTTACTAACAATTACTTAGGTATGTATTTTTTCCTTTTAAAATTAAAATAAATTTCAAAACTCCACTGTGAGAGTAGGAGTGGCTGTTTTGTGTGGGATTAATCCACTTGGCACGGTACAACAGTGATTTTTCATGTAGAGCGTTTTATTAAAGCAGGCTGAGCAAAAGCAACTGGACCTGTTTCCACTGATGAAAGTAGGGGGATTGTGTATGACTTTGAATGGGGGAATGATCAAGGTTAATTATTGCTTACTGTTAATTGGTTTTTTCAGATTTCTGTGCTTTGGTTGTTGGGAGCTACAGAAATCCTTCATGCACATCATCAATTAAAGGTCTGCAATTATACATTATTTAGAAGGGGAAAGAGAGGGATATCTTTAAAACGGAATTTTCTCTTTTTTCTCTGTATCAAAACTTTTTTTCAACTCAAGTTGTGGATGACTGATGTATGTGCTGCATCCTGCAGCATGCTCTTACAGATGTTTAGCAGTTGCAATTATAGCAGCTAAAGAAGAAATAAAAATTGATTCTGTAGCATGTGTTTTATATCCATTATTTTCAGACTGCTTCACAGCAGCTGACTGATAGGCTGCTGTAGTAGTATGGTTTATTCCTCTGCTTCATAGGAAGGGTTACTAACTTCATGAATCCTCACAATAGTAAGAAATACGGTTTTGGGGAGTTCAACTTTACATGTCTTTGTTTACAAAGTTCTTGACATGTTTGGGTGATGCAATTTGCAATGCTGAAAGTTGATATTATTTTTATATACATATGTGTTTATGTGTATATATTTGCAGGTGGAATTGAAGTGATAGAACTTGGAAATTTTGTTCTCTACATATACATGTATTATTTACAGAGTTAATCCTACAAGGATTGTTGTTATTTGTTACTGGTTTGGTGAATCAGCTAACCAAGCCAAGAAAATAATTTAGACACTTCGTAATTTTTTTTCTCCTTTCAAATGGGTTGCTTTTTTTATTGATTTCCTTGTCCTGCTATCCCTGACAAGCCCTCTTGAATGGAAGGAAAAAGTAGATTAGAATGGTATGCGTAGTCACCTCAGCAAGTAGATCTGATGGTGATGAGTGCTCCTGAAATAAGCTTTGGTCTGAGGTACAATCTCATAGCCATGAGATTTAGTGGATGTATCTGCTGAGGTTATCATAGTTATGGATGAGATGTTAAAATACTTTTAACAGCCTTTTTCCATTCCTTTTCATTCATCTTTCTTTAAACACAAAGTACATTTTAGAAAATGGTAATAACTAAGCACAAAGATAGTGTTACCTAGTAATTTGCAAAATGGCAGAAGTTTAGCAATGCAGTGGGTAATGTGGGAACATATCTCCCCCTAGTATGTATCCATTTTGTGTGTCTTACTACGTTTTTAAAGGTATGTAACAATTAAGGATACCCCCTGTGCTATACAATGCCTTCAGGTAAAGTAAGTGCTCAGTAGTAAGTGTCTGTCTCCCTGAATCCTTTCCAATTCTAGTGCGGCAAAGACAGCTTAAAGCTGAATTGAAACTGGACTTACTCATAGCAGGGTGTTGTAGTTTTGCTTGGCCTAAAAAAGATAAATAAACATCTGTTCTGGGTAAATAAAATTTTTCTTCTTTTTTTTAAGGGACAACATGGCTCTTCTCCCTCTGTGCTAGACCTCACTGCTCAGAAGCAGCATCCTTTCCTAAACGTGTCCTCTGCAAGGAGTATGTGCTTATACAAAAACTGTATTCACTCAGCAATCAGTGTGCTTGCTGGACACAAAGCTTCTGTTTTAGAGACTTCTCTCAAGGCAGAAATTGACTGAATCCTCCAAAGGGATTCCTGACAAAACAAATTTCTGATGTGGTCTAGCAATCTTCTGAATCAAGTAGTCTGATATTACTACTTTCTGTGCACTTGGCTCATCTATTGAAGTTACTCATACTTCATCTTTGCACTGTAGTTGCACTGTATTTTATTTTCCTCATCTTGTAAGCAGCAGTTTGGGCCCAGATCTAATGAAATCCCTCAATGAATCAGCAAACTGCTTGTACTGTAATTGTAATCTAGCCTTGATGGGTAGCAGTTCTCAAAGGTGATGTTGATATTCTGCAGTTGATGGAATGGCTCATAAGGTCAGCTTGATTATATATAGCAACAGCCCTCCAGCTGCACTGACTTGAGCTGAACCAGCCACATCATTTACTATTACTCTGATCCAGATGCTGTTGACACTGAGCATATGGAAATTCATGGCTTTTATATGAAACTGCTTTTGTAATGATAATTCAGTCTCAAAGGTAACCTCAGCTGATTTTCATTTAGCATGACACAGACACCTAGTGGATCTTGGTGACATGATACAATGACTGTATTGTTATGTATATATATACTTTTGGTAGCTATAAAAATTCATTTGGATGACAATACATACAGTCTTACGAGTGTTTCTGGTGTGTAGTATATACATACAAATTTGATTTTTGTACTCCCTAGGACATATAGTATCAGTTGATTTTTACAACAAAAATGAGGCTAGACAGGATACAAATTTTGGAAGCAAGTGCACAAACTTCCTGTACTTCCAGCAGCCCAAAACCTCATCTGAAGAGGTTGGGTGGGGCACTGATGGTTATTTCAGTCAAAACCTTTTTCTAGGCTGTAATATTTATAAATTTTTTGCTTCCTTCCCTGTGTGTTAAGCAAAATCTGATCGTTCAGGTGTAATTAATTTGTATGTAAGTGGATATATATGTTCTGACAATAACTTTCTCAGTTCTTTCTTTACCTTTTTTTAAAATTATTTTTTTCATAAGCTGACATGTATGACTTTTTCTCTTTGCTTGATTGCTATTTACTAAATGCTTAATTCTGTCAAAATTGAATAGAATATTGAAATTGCTAACTTGTATGAAAAGGCAGACCCTGGAAAGAAAATAACTAAAAAACTATTTCTTTTCAACTTTAAATCAATTTCATTTTAATAAGTAACAATAGAGCCTTAGCAGTAATAGCTTTAAAATGCATTTATATCTTACTGATTGTACTATTCATTTTTCTGTGTTTCTTTAAGTTACTAATTTTCTGTCATT